CTTAAGCCCAAGAGCTGGAGGTTGCTGTGAGCTGTGACGCCACGACAGTCTACAGAGGGCGACGGACACAGACTATGTCTCAAAAAAAAAAAAAAGAAAGAAAGAAAAGAAGAAAATGCACTAGGCACAAAGAACTAACCTATTAAAGTGTGGTCATGCCATGCCCTAGGGGTGATACAGAGCAGAGTGTGATCCAAACACAAAATGGTTGCAGAAGGACTGAGTCAGCTGCTTGTGTTGACATTTTCTCAGTACTGGGCTAGAAGTGAAAATCTTGAATGGGAAGGCATTTTATTTTGAATACATTGTATTTTCTCCTAGTGAATATAAGATGAAAATGCTTATCACATTCAATAGCAATGCAAGTATCTCATATATGGCAGTAGTTGTTAATAAGTAAAGCTGGGAGCAATCACTTAATACATACTTTAAAAAGGAGATTTTTTTTTTTTTCTTTTTAGCAACAAGGGCTTGCTCTGCTGCCCAGGCTGGAGCGCAGGGGCATGACAGCTCACTGCAGCCTCAAACTCCTCCTACCTCAGTGAGTGCCCCTCATAGCTGGACCTATAGACACATGCTGTCATGCCTGGATAACTTTTAAATTTTTTTTGTAGAGATGAGGGCTTGATATATTGCCCAGGCTGGTCTCAAACTCCTGTCCTCCAGTAATCCTCCCACTTAGGTCATCCCCCAGCACTGGGATTACAGTTGTGAGCCAATGCGCACAATCAAATTGGACATTCTTAAGAAGGATTCAAAGTTATTCAGAGAACTGTATTAATAGGCTGTAATATGTTTTGTATTAAGCATAGGCATATGTAATGTATTTTTTTAAAAAAGTCTGATTTCCATAAGATTTCAAGGAGCATGGACCATAAACTTGATAAGGAACTTCAAAGCAGCCAGTTATAATGGAGCTCTCTGGTTTCTTTACATTTATGGTGCTCATCTGCCCAAGTGTTATATGATTTAAAAAAAAAAAAGCATTCCTAAAGCTTGCTAGCTTAATTATTAAACATAAATTCAAAACCACTATAGCACACAGTACTTGCTTTTAAAGGTACCTGCCAGGGGTGGTGCCTATGGCTCAAGGAGTAGGGCACTGGTCCCATATACCAAGGGTGGCAGGTTCAAGCCCAGCCCTGGCTAAAATGGTAAAAAAAGAAAGAAAGAAAAGGCTATAGTGAGATAAGGTACAAGTTTAAAAAAAAAAAAAAGGTACCTCCCGGCTTAATTTTTGACTCATTAGGCTGAGTTCCCTTTTATCTTTACAATATAGATGTTTAAAATTAAGATCTAGAAGTCCCCCATGTTCAATTTGCTTGCAGATGCTTTTAATAAATCTCTATTAACTCTTTAAAAAAAAAATCTAGATCTTGTGAGGGTTTTCCCTTCCTGCCTTCCACCTTCCTTCCTTCCTTTCAACAACCTAAGATTGTTAATAAACATCTATTATCTGTGTGTCCACTCCCTTACTCTGTAATTTCTAGGTAGCTTATTGCACCCTGTCTAGACAGCTTTCAGAAAAATGTCAATAATATGTTTTTATCTGTCTTGGGCTCCATATGGGTGAATTACAGAAAAAATTAACAAAAACTCAGAGCAACAAGTTTTACTACTTCACGCAGTTAGGTCTATATGTGAACTTAAATTTCTCTTTTATTTTTTTCTTTTCCCATGGTTAGCTAATCATAACCTGTAAGTGTAAGGTGAAGTCAATAAAGTGCTATGGGAATGTTTGAGCTAATCAGACAGTTCAAAAAGACAGGAAGCTGGACACCAAAATAACCCTGTTAAATATAGCCGGATACATCACGGAATATGGTAATCTGCAGTTTAATTTGCAAATCCCTTGGCAGAGAGAAGGAAAGGATGGAAAAGTTTGAGTGAAGATTTAATTGACTAGTCAAATAGACAGTGAGTCATTGAAAATTTCCAGTTAACAATCCCTTCGGCCCTGGCAGAGCTTGGGGCCCCAGCGCTTTATGACACAATTGCAGTTTAAGTTGTAACATCTCACTCACAGTTTTACCGTCTCTTTCACCAAATGAATACATAAAATGTAACTAACTTTGAAATCTACATCGGCTTTGAAATGTTGGGCAAAATCTGACTGGGGATGGGGAGAAGGAAAACAGAAAGAGAACAAGGTAACAGGACCGCACAGAGAACTCAGGATGGTGGTGAAGAGAGGGCAGGAATTTTCAGTTTTTCCCACGTTATATATGCTGTCCGTTCTCCTGCATCCTGATCCTAACGGGTCGGAGTGGACCCCTCCTATGGGCTAAAAGCTTTATTCTCGGTCTTCACCCAACCTGGAGTCTCGCCAGCGCCCACTCCTGCCCCCATCCTCTGACAGGTGGAGCAGCCGAGATGCCACCGAACCTCCGCCTCCTCGCGCTGCCTGCCGGGAGCCAGAGCCGCTTCCGGTTGCGCCCTACCCCTGAACTCCGACTCCCGTCGGTCCCCGGGAAAACCGCAGCGGGGTCGCGCGGGCGCTGCCGGAACCCGTAGTTCCGCCTTCGCCGCGCTAAATAGCCGGAAACGGGGGCGGGCAGGCCGAAGAACTACCGTGGCGAAGGTACGGGTAGCGGTGAGGGGTCAATCCGCGCCGGGCGTGGGGTTAGCGGTGAGGCAGTCGTAGGTGCTGGGGTTGGGTGGGAGAACCTCTCTCACACACGAGGAGGGTGGAACTGCCGCTGCCGCCGCGAGTGCGGAGTCGGGACGGGAGCTGCTGTCGCGGCGACACCAAAAGTAGTGTCACTAGCCCCGGGCCCTTCTGCCTCGCCGCCTTCACCGGGTCATCGCGGCCTGCTCCTCCCCGGCCGGTAGCCCCCGCCTCCATTTCCCGCCCTCTTTTTACCACACACACGGCCCCCCCGATCATGGATCCAGGCA